GAAAAGAAAAGAAAAGAAGAAAACCCCCTGAAGGAAAGCAGTGCAGTTCACTTTAATAACCGCCTATGTGCATTGCTTTACTCTGCACACACTTATGCTAAACTGATAGCACAGGAAGTCGAATAGACGATTTCATTGAAAGGCCCCGCTGCCAGCACTCACTGTCCTGAGAGGGGAGGGAAATGGAAACCAGATGTCTGAGATCCACCGTGAATATGTCAAATCTCTCAGACTATGTCAGTTCCTCCATGTCCGATTGGTGGACTGAAGCTTTTCTGCAGCGTCATCAGTAATGTCCATAACTCTTCCTCCCTGCGGACATCTCAAACGGTCTTGGCTGCAGCGACGACCTGGAGACTCCGGGAAAGAAGCTCCACTCTTCCACTGTTTTTTCTTTTTTTTTTTTCTTCCTCTGTTCCTTAGGTTTCAGACCTCACCGCATTCCTCAGATTTCAGGGTAACTTCCCACATCCCAAGGCTCAGCCGGGTGGCAAATCTCTCAGCACTCCTTTGTGGATGGATTGCTTTCTCTTGCTTGAGAAAATAACAAGCTATAGAGTAATGACTTAACAAGCAACAGGATAATGGCTTCAGCATGTGCAGCGCCGTGCGCATGCGTCCGTGTGCGTGCACAGGTTTGGGTGCACTGCGCTGGCGCTTTCCTCCCTCCCTCGCCTGCGTGTGTGTGTGTCTATTGTTTAAGAACCAACTGTGCAGGATCAAGTGGTTCTGTGTCCTGCGAGTTGTTTGAAAGCCGGGCCGCTGACGAATAGTCCGGTCTGGAGCCACGCAGCCCCCCCACCCCGGTGCGTCACAATGACAGGGGACGGTCTGTGGGGGTGTCGGGTGTTTCCCATCATAAACAGCTGCTTAGGCCTTCCACAGAAGAGCGCTCCTCGGTGTATATACGTCTGTGCGTTTGAATGTGTGACCGTGTGACAGCATGTGTAGTGATCTGTGGCAACGTGGCAGCTGCTGGGATATATGCGCCGCGCGTGTGCGTCGACACAAGGCAGATTGTTGGTGTTTACTAATGTCTGGATGTGTTTGGATGTCTTGCATCTGTTCCCGGTGCGCATTACCTCCAGTCTCAACCGTCTTTGATCTCCATCGGAGCAAATGGGAAGCAGCCGACACCTCCGTCTATCGTCCTGGTGTGGCCTGAGAAACTCGCGAGGCTGTTCGCGGGGGAAATGACGCTGCCGTGAGTCAATTAGCAACCCTCTTCCTGTCAGCGACACATTTTGTTACGGCGTGTTGCGGCTTGGCCGAGTTGTTGCTTCTCCTCTTCTCACACACAACCAATCACAAAGCTTGAAAAACGAAATGAAACCTAATGGGGAGGCGATACGTTTCCCAACACAAGGCCTGACGCTGTTTACCCAGTGTTGCACCGGGACATGCCCTGACAGGTGGGCACAAATCTACATCACGTCTTTCGTTATACTCTCTCAGGGCCTCGGGGCAACAGCTCAACGTTCCTTTTGCACCTTGTCTGGGAAAATATGCTCAGGTGCGTTCAAGGCAAACAGGTGGTATTTTCTTCCGCTGTCAGGTGTAGAGGAGCCTTACGTGTAGGTTTAACAGGTGCGGGTGACTTTCTCCCCTTTCAGACGTGCTCTCGGCAGGGACAGCGATGTCGGCCCGTTGTCTGTTTGGTCCAGCCTCAAACATCTCAGCACTCATTGGAGGGATTGCCATTCAATTTTCGTTCGTGTGTCCAGATGTCGAATCCTACTGACTCCTGGTGACCCCCCTTACGTTTGTCCTGAGTGAGACGGTGAAGATGTCAAACGTTTCACATCTCACATCTACAACATCGGCATGTTAGCGTTGAAAAAAAACACAGTGCCTGCTGTTAGTGAAGCGTCACAGAGCCGCGAGCGTTGCCGGGGTTTATCTTGTTTGGTTAGGAGGAGTCACATGATGAATTTTTTCATTCTGTTAGGGTCAGAAGGATATCTGTTTTGGTTGCTTTTGTTTTTTTACAGCAGACCGACTGCTCCCCTACTTGCTGAGATGCCACTCAAGAATTTGGGAGTAACAACAGTTAAGAAAGCCGGGTCAGGATACTCTCTGAGAATCTCTTGTTTCCTGTCCCGGGGTAGAAGTAGGATTTATTTTCTCCTTCCTCCTTCCCCTCTCCGATTGCACCAGCCCCAATGTGAGGCCATGCCAACAAGGACACAGAGGAAAAGCAGAGAGCTCTGGCGCCATCCATCCTTCTGCCCCCCACCCCTCCCTTCTCCTCTCGCTCGCTATGCTTCTCACTGGCATCGAGTCCGCTGCAACACATGTCTCTGATCAAGTCCAGCCTGCGTCATCAGTTAGTAAACTCCAGGCTCCAGGAAAACCAACAGAGAGCACATTCATAGCCGGCGACCCTGTGACTGAGTGTGTGATTCATTACTCTTTAATATGCAACCGCTACCCCCATCCCCGAACGTACCCGACCACTTCTCCAATCCAGCCATGGGGGGAAACGCCACAGCCTGATCAAATCCATCGTTTGGCCTACTTGTGGCGTAACCGCCGTTGGCCCTCTTATTTACCAGATGCTGCGTTTGTGTCGCGGGGCGTGTTTGCAGCTCAGTGGAGAGGAAACATCTCCGCATCCTCACAGTCACATCAGTATTCTGCAACTCCATTGTGTGTCAAGAGCGAGACGGGGAAGGTTCTTGACACCAAAACGCTAGAGAGTAATGAAGTGCTCTTGAGCAAGGTGACAGACATGGAGAAGCGCTAATCTTGGTGGGGGAGGCCAAGCAACACAGGAGGTGAGAGGTGCTGTGGGAGTATAGCTGAGGATAGAACGATAGCTTCGATGCAATCAAAATGCTATTCTTACGCCCTGAGCATGAGGACGGATCTGCTTCCATGCCAGAAAGCCCTCGGCCTCGTCCCGTCGATCCCACCGTCGAGGTTACATTTTACACATTGCTATTCCCAAGTAGCATGGCGATGCGATCACACTTTATTTCTATGCGTTGTTGCTGATTATCAGCGTATTATCAAGGGGCTGTAACGTGTCAGCGGCGTGACTCTCAGGTGACAGTCACAAGAGTGGAAAACAGTCCACGCGTATTTAGCTCGGGACTCATCTTGACCAGGTCACCGACGAGCACAAGACTGAACACCACGGTCTGGGTTTAAAGGATTTTTCTTGGGAGAATTCTCTCTCCAGGTCTTGTGTGTCACGGGTGCAGGATGAGTCCTGTTTACGGGATGCTGACAGCTCCTTCCTGCCTCCCAGGCCGTGAGGCCTAACTGCTGCTGACACCGAAGGCCACTCCGTAGTTCCTGGCCACCCAACTCCACCCCTAAAACTTGGAGAAAGAGAGCAGGCGTGGGTGGGACAGCTGACGGGGGGATGGGACGCGGCGCTGGTCGTGGCAAAGTGCAAAAGCGGCAGCAGCAGAAACAGCTCTGCAGCTCCTCCACCCAGGCGGCTTTTTTTGGTAAAGTAGGCCAATGTAAACTCCCACTTCCTGTCGGCCTTGTCTCAGAGGGGGAGAGACGATCCTTCTGTGAAGAGGGAAAAGGGCTGCGGCTCTGTAGGGACCGTTTCCACTCGCTACACACACACACACACACACGCACACGTACACAAACAGAAATACAGTCGAGGAGGCCGGCAAGCGAGTGAGTGGGAGCGAGCGAGCGAGGAATACGCAAACACAGTGGGGTTCAGGAATGTTAAACACATGCTTTATGGCATAAATAGCAGCCACTTTTGGTAAATTACAGTGAGTGCTCTGGCACTGTAAAGCACACAGCAGGAAAACGCTCTCAGATTTCAAATCCAGGCTCTCCACTCTCCCCGAGGAACAAGCAGGGGAGCCTGCTGTGTTTTCCTTTCTCTATAAAAAGGCAGAATTAAGTGCAGTAACTTGTGATGCAGCAAAGATTTGAAATGTTGTTACTGCCCAAATGAGGCTGAGCCAAACGAGGCTGTGACACTTCCGAGGAAAGACACACAGCGCCGAAATGTATGCGAAGCAAATGGAAAACCTCTGTAGCTTTTAAAGAAATCCTGAGAGAAACTTCACGGATGAAAATCGTCCGAAAATGTCCTCACTAAGCCAACTTGAGAATAAAGTTTTAATGCAGGACTTGTTTAGACCCCCACCACATCATCGAAATAGTCCTTAGTCCTAACCTCCAGCAGGTGAGACTTCAATATCCCTTTCATTCAACAGCATTTGACCTGATTGGTATTTGGGAACAGACATACGAGTGGTTTAGATTGAAGTGCTAAGCGTGTGAGGTGAGTCAGTGCTACATGCTGCAAATGATGGTCCTGGCTGGGAGCTGGGAGCGTATTCCCCTGACTCAGTGGGAAACAAGGAGCCGTGCCGTGGAAGATCTCGCCTCGCTCTGTACTGGCCCACGCACACCGACTCACTGATAAACTATGGCGGCCTGACTTATGGAGTGAAAGCAGAGGAGCCATGAGAACTTACCAGCTCTGGATTGTGCAGACTGTGACTCACTGTCTAGGCGAGAAGGTTATACTCTCCCTTTGGAAAAAAATGATATACACACACACACACACACACACACTCGATATGGCCCACTAGAGTTCCACCTTTAGGACATTTAAAGAGCCATAGTTAGCACCTGTAAGCTCATATTAAACAAACAGATGAAAACAGAAGTTGACTTTCATGCAAGTTCTCTTTTAACGGCACACGCTAACACACGTTCTCATATCGAGCCGTGTTTGCACAGTGCGAAGTAGATGGCAGGTGCAAACTGGGAGCAGGTGCAGCCAGTTGTCCCCGTCCATCACACAGTGTGCTCACCTGCACCTCTGAAATTCAGTTTCACAACAATGGTGAGTTCATTCTCCACACCTAATATCCAGACGTCAGTCAGAAACCTCCCGGTTAATGATCAAACAGACCTTTTATAACCAACGGTGCCCTTTTCCACATTATATGAAAGAGATTAATCTGAACAAGGTTGGATTTTTTTATGATAAAGTATATGAGAGCAGGTTTTAATAAACATAAATTACTTTATTGAATGAAAATGTATCAGTTACAACATAAGAAATAGGAGTGAAGAAACAAGCATAGTACAAAATAACACATTATCTGCACATTGCACTATAAACACTGCCATAAAATGCTTAGGTTAAGTTAAAAATGCATCTTTGTGCTGTCCATTGACAGGTTTCTGATCTCATATTAGTCGACCATGTCTCCATGGTGTAAACCTTACAAATCTTTGGTCCCAGCCTTCTTGCAATTCAAATTGTTTGGCGCTATTTTCTACTAATACTGCATTCAACGTTTATTTCAAACCCACAAATACTGAGGTAAAAAAGGCACATTTTTGGTTTCAAAAGTAATAAAATTCAAGGCACAAATTCATTATGGTCACAAAATATGGCTTTGGCTGGTATTATTAACACTGTGGTAACTTCGAGTGCATGGCTTGCGTTAAAACCCACGATGCACAGTGCTGCAAAGTGGAAAATAACAGACAGCATGGCTTTTCCTATCTCTGACAATCATCAGATTAAAGACATGGCGTGGATGTAGACAAAATAGAGGCTTAAAATGAACCTCACTGGGGAATAAAGACTAACTGCCATTCTTTCGCGATGACACGCATCCTCTTTTGTTCCTCAAGCAAACCAAGGGCAGTGGAAGTCACCTGCTATCAGCCAGCAAGGTCATGGCTGTAGCACCTGTTAGCACCTCGTCTATCTACACCACAGTACCAGGGACAGCTGTGTGTGCATTTGCTTTTGTGTGTTTTGTGTGTGTGTGTGTGCGTGTGTGTGTGTTTTGAGGCACGCTGAGAGATTTATTCCACCCACGCACCCCTACCTCTCAGCAGCTGTGTCTAGTCTATGATCTTGAGCTGGCCGGAACCGGGACGGAGACAGGAAAGAGCACCTCGTACCCCAATGAGGTCTCTACATATTTGGTCTTTGCAATGGGCACAATGGCAACAAAGGGTGCAGATATCAAGAGAGTCTTGGCATTACTCAGTTCAGAATTGGTCTGGCCTCAAGACCAATAGATTGGGGAGAAGGAAAAAAAAAAAAAGAGCTCCGTGGATGTTTTTTTTTTTTTTTAACAGAGCAGAAAAGCTAAACGCCTGGTAAAGTCAGATCCATAATGTGGCTCCAGTCCCTCCGGCGCTCTTAAAGAAGGCCACGTCATGCTCTTAGCGGCCCAACAAGTCGTCAACAGGCCAGCTGGGCTTGGGTCGCCCCACTCTCGGCGGCCACTAGCTCCTCCCTGAGCTCTGACCAGGGTACCCTATGTCTCTCTCTCTCTCTCGCTCTCTCTTTCTCTTTCCCTCTCTCTCTCTCGCTCTGCTGGGTTTCACACTGCGGAGGAGCAGCACCCGGAGGAGCTGTGTTTCTGCAGCAGCGACATGCGACTGAAGGTGCGAGAGCAGACGCCACACTGGTACTTCTTCACCTCGGCGTGGGTCTGCAGATGAGCTCGCAGGTTTGAGCGGTCGGCAAAGGCCCTGTTGCAGTGGGGGCAGGAGAACGGCCGCTCACCTGGACAAAGAAGGGGTGAAAAGCACACGTCATATAACTCGACTAGCACAACAATCGGCATGTCTGAGTTCACAAGAGCCGCCCCCACCCACCACCCCCCGCCGCCCCATCAACACCTCACGCACAAACACACAAAAACATTCTGAGGATAATGAAGAAGCACATGGTGGGCCGGACGGGTCAGAGCCTGACTGCATTAGCATGATTCAATCAGAGCCAAAATGAGATTAGCACGCTAACAAGTTGCTGCAGGTACAAAGTGCTCTGTGATAGCGGAGAGCCTTCGGGCATTCTTTAAACCCTTTGTCACCCAATCGGCTGCCTTCCCCAGCAGCCGTGATAAGAGAATTAGCTGACGAGCCATTGTTGCTGGGACATTAAAGACAATGGGGGAATCAATGAGTGCAGGGTCTACCGAGGGCTTCCCTGTGAGATAATGTGTCTGCTGATCAAGTGTTGAGCTCATCAACCTGATTGTCATGGATATCATTCTCCCTCACATCACAGCCCAACTGATGAAGACAATGTCAACCCCTCCAATGGAGATTTACAGCTTTACGGCAACACCTAGATTGATTTTGTTGCCTGAGAATGAGCAATAAAGTGGAAATTAAGCCGATGGGGGCAGTGAGGGGGGTTGTTACGTTGCAGAGAAATGTCTTACCTGTGTGTGTGCGGATGTGGCCGCGCAGCAGCCACGGCCTGGAGAAAGCCTTCCCGCACGTGGTGCACACGCAGGGCAGGGTGTGTGAGCGGATGTGCATCTTCAGGGCCCCGAGGCTGGTGTACTCTTTGGGGCAGTGTTTGCAGAGGAAGGCTGGCCGGGCCGCTGTGACGGGGGCCTCCCTCTCCTCCTCTTCCTCCTCCTCCTCCTCCTCGGGGGGACTGATGTGAGGCATGACGCCGGTGCATTTCATCCGCTGACGAGGGCCGTACGTGTGTACGGGTTCGGGGCTGGGGGGGTCCGACGTGCGTCCCTCGTCCTCCTCTCCGCAGCTGCTGGCGCTGCTGCTGAGGCTGGAGGGGGAGCTGAGGTCCAGGGGGCCCGGGGCCACGCAGGGCTCCGTTTGGGAGGTGGGCAGGTAGAGGGTGGGCAGGACGCTCAGGTTCCACACCAGACCTGTTGTGAAGCAGGTGGCAGTAGAGGTGTTGACCCCTGATGAGAGCTCAGCCAGAGAATACCTCTCCAGTGACATGTCTGAGGGAGAGAGAAGGGTGAGGATGGTTCAAGCCTCCAGCCGGTACACAACAGGTTCAATGGTATTTAATGGAGTGGCAGAGAAACAGAGCAGATCAGTTCAGCGTGTGAATTGGGTCCAACTTTGCGGTCGGTCCTGGTTGAAATTATTCATTTGTGTTTTTCTCAGCATTTACTGAGTGTAAAGTTGGAGCCATGGGGAGGCCATTTCCTCCCACGTATTCACAAGAGCTTGTAACATGAATGGAGCTCTGTCTGGTTCCAGAACGGGGGGGGAGTGCGTCTAACGGGCCCCGACATGCCGCCGAACCAGGCGCAAAAAGCTGAACAGGTTTCATTTCAAGGTGTACATTAAACTAAACTTGCAACTACTCTACGGAGACAACATGCGATCTGGGTACCAGTATTAATAATTGAGCTTTCATAATTCACACCAAAAGAAAACACAAAAAAGGAATATTCACAACTCACCATTCTGACATTCCAGTTCACTGTAGTTCGGCTTTTGTTTCGCGAAGTACTGTTTGACCAAGAAAGATCGAGGCATTGTCCGTGTGAGAGTTAAATAACTGTGCGTAAAAGTATCCTGTGGTCACGACGCACGGTTTCTGCAAGAAAAAAAAAAGTCAAATCTTGGTCCCCGGATCCAAAGGAAACAGAAAAATATCTTCCTATAGTCCACAAGTTAGAGAAGACTTGCGCAGACAAGTGTGTGTGTGTGCGTGCGTGTGTGTGTGTGTGCAGCTTTCATGCAGTGACTAAATACTGGCCTCTGTTCTGAAATACTCTGACACAGGCGGTAGGGGTGTGCTCACCCCGAGGGCCCCTCCCCACTCCCCCCACAGCCTCCACCCTCCGCATCAAGTGCGCCCGGTGGAGTCTATGCCCCCGCGCGCTCAACAACCACAACAACAACAACAACAACAACAACAAAAACACGAGCCCGTCGCGTTCACCGGACCAGCAGCGACTTATATTTACGCAGAGCAAACGACCGCTTGTGCAGATGTTTAGGGAACAGCGCACGTCGTTGCGCACTTGCGTGGATTAAGCGCTGCAGCACCCATAAGGGCACAGACGCGCGCCTGGAACCCAATCTAACAGTGCGCTGCACCAGAGTGCACAGAGAAACACGGACCCCTGCAATCCCGGAGAGTAGATAGTACCCAAGTCCTGTTCGCCTGCAGCGTGCACGTCCGTGTAACTTCGGTGGCAGCGCCACTGTTTCCTGCATTAGGGGAATTTCGACGCGCGGTCCAAACGTTGTTACGTAATGAATGTGCGCACAACTTCTAAAGTGTAGTTTTCATTCACATAGTTGTGGTGGCAATAAGAATCAATATTAAGATCGAGGTAGTCAGCAGACCTGCCGCGTGTTATCTAATAAAATACGTTAAAGAAAAGCTACACGTTCATACATCATCAGTAGAGTAACTGCACCACCTTCTGGAAGAAACGGAGGGATGCCACAACCTGGCCAAGGCAAATGGACATCGAAATGTCTGCAACTCAACTGCAATGTGCTGTGGGAGTTAAATAATTATCATAGTCAGATGAGATATTTCATAAAGATTAAATATCATCAACATTGAAATCATGTTGTAGAGGATGCAACTGTAAACGGGACTAAGTCATTGTATTAACCTGTTTTCAAGTGTCTACCAGGAATATGAGAAATCCTTAGCAGTGTGCATGCTAAGAGCTAAAAGAGCAGTATACAATTTTAATTTGTAATTTGTCAGATCATCAAAATGATGGAAGACAACATTCGGCACACATCATCACATCCATATTAAACAGACACCCTGAAATGGATCCTGCTAGTGTTCCTAAGGAGATCCCCCATAAAGACCAAACCCACAGTTTTCTATATCAGGTCAGAAAAAGGCCGCTCTGTGATATTCACTATGGCTGCAATGCTAAAACAAAAAAGGTGTATCTTTCTCCTGTTGCTTTTCTTGTGTCTCCATACTTAAGTTTTGCCCACCAGCCCAAAGACACAAAGTTTATCTCTCATTCTCTCTCCAAACGACAAATATGCAGAAACCAATTAAAAGTGGTTCACACAGACTTCTTTCTTTGCGGTGTCTTTTGTTGGGGTGTTGAATTTGAGTGTCAGGCCGTGGCAACGTTATAAGACTCTCCCGCAGAGCGTTAGTAATACAAACTGAAGTGCAAAGAGTTACATTTAACTCAAGCTCTCACAGGAGGCCTGCGACCACGTTGCATTGATTAATAACAGAGGAGCTTTCCATCGTTGAGGTTGATCAAGCCACTAGAGGGAGACAACGAGTCACCGCTGTAACTTTATCGTGCTGCCCGGTGGATGCAGGGCAATAGAACACGTGCACGCCCAATGCATAGTCAAACATCTGATGTTTCTTCAACTGAGGTGGTTAATGGGTAGGGAGGAGCAATGTCAGTGCCTGCGTTGCAGCTTCTCTTCAAACAGTTGGGTTACGTTTAAATGTCGGACTGATGCGCATGCGCGGCGCATCGTGGTGTCTGATTGGTGGGTCGCTCGTAGGAGGAGGAGGAGGCGGGTCACGGGGCGGGTCTCCTGGTGTTGACGATCGGTCGCTGATTTGAAATAATAGGACAACGGTCTTCTTGTTCGGCAAAGACAATTAACGTTAAACTTGGCAAATCGAAACGATGCTTTGCGTCTGAATCTGAGGAACACTGACGGCAGGTAAGCGCACGCTACAATCCATTCACACAGACCCCCACGCACTGCGTCAGACAATACAATATAACATCGGTGCCCCGCAAAAACGTTTCATAATAGAGACACATTGTGTTGCGTTATTCCAACACGAGATGTCCCGTTTGGTGCAGCCGCTCATCGGGTGTCTCGGGTTCGTTTGGTTGCAGCCATCGAAGGCGCACGGCGTCATTTCACTGCTAACGACAGAGGACTCGGTCACCCGAAGACATGAAGTCTAAAAAACAACAACAACATTTCTGCCGAATTGCGTGAATGAGACACGTTTGATGCATCGGAGACTTCATCTCTGTGGCTTCAGAAGTATTTGTAATCTTATTATTTATCCCATTTCTGTCTGCGACGTGTACCTCATCGGGTAAAAGGGAGGGCCGCCCCCCGTTTTACCCTAACCCCCTTCCCATTAAAGTGCCCTGGGGATTTAGAATTTAAGTGGGGGGCTCAACGTGGCCCCCCCCCCCCCCCCCCCTCGCCCAATGAAAGGTGCAGACTCGGCTTTGCACTTACAAGATGCTTGAGAAAAGCAGCCCCTCCCCCATGTATCTGTGGACAGATGGACCCTAACAATGATATTCTTGGGGAGTGGGCATCATTATTCAAATCACTGTATCAAAATCAATTGTGATTGGATATTTCAGTCAGCTGACCCGGATTGTTTGAATTTTGAAAAAGGATAATGGAGGAAAGTACTTTTTGCGTCACTCACCAAACAGTCAAAGGGGGGGGGGGGTGAACATGCACATGTCTCTATGAGCAGCATTTCGCTTGTCTTTAGCAGAGAACGACGTTCTGCTGGAAAAAGACGTGGAGGAGTTCAGATCAAAGCTTGAAGGGAGGACGGAGAGAAAAGAGCAATGTTGAAAACGATCACCCGTCTGCTTTTTGGCGGACAAGAGGAGGCCCCCGAAGATGTAAAGTCTGGTGAAGCGGTGGAAGAAGGCTGGCTTGTTGTGAGTCATCCAGGTCAGTCATTATGCCGCGTGTCATTTTCACATTTTAAACTATATCCTTGAATCATGAGCTGATTTTATGCATAATCATTTCACATGAACCTATTGCTGTGCACCAAACTACATGGTACCGTCAAATGCACTGTAATGTTAGACAATGGGGACCATTTTTAAGCTAAAAACGCCAAACATTTTCTTAACATTAATATGTAATGTTGTAAAATGCATTTCTTTTTTCCCTTCAATATTTCACGTGTTATTTGTTTTTGTGTTGTGGTTTCCACAGAGGCAGGTTCAGCTGAGAACCAGTGTGCAAAGCTGACGCCTGAAACACAGTCATCAAACACTGCTGCTCAAGGAGCCACGGTTGCAAACGTGGAAAGTGACATCAGGTGAGGGAGCATGAGGTATTAAAAGACTACATTAGCGCGGGATATTGGATTGCCATTCTTGCTTTTGTTTCCCTCCAGCGTCTTGGATCCAGAGCACACAGTGGAAACCAGCAGCAGCAGCAGCATCATCACAGGCTCTGTTTCCCAGCCTAAAGCTGTGTTAGAAGTGACCCAGTTAACCAGCATGCAGAAGGCTAAAACCTGGGCAGACCCACACCACATGTCTCGTAACGCCATTCAGCGCCAGAACCGCGTTCGCCAAGGAGTCCAACATCAATCCTTCCACCTCCAACAGCCGGGACAGCGCAACCTCAGCCACTGAGGCTCCGGTTGTAAAACTGCAACTGTTCTAGATGTAACCAATCACCACAACGTAACAGCAGGCAGCTATATAATATATAGATATACACTTGTACTGTATAAGAATGTTGAAATTAAAATCACTACGTTTTCATGTTTGCGTGCATGTGGATGAGTGCTGCCTCTGTAAAATGCATCTTTGAGCGTTTTGGATGAAATATTATCCATTATTTAGCTTTATGTGTGTAGTTTCAAACTGTTTTTATACTACAATAAAAATATGTACTTTGCAGTTTGCTTTACTTTATTTTTTTGTATTATTCTAATGACCAAATGCTAGTGAATGGCTCACACTTTGACAGGTGCAAAGGTTGACATCTCATTGGTTGGGAGGTAATTGCACCTGCTGTGTTCGATTACATAGTTTGCTCAGAGAGGAGCTCAGTTTACAGACTTCTACAATCAGTAGACACTCAAACAACTGTTCGTGAGCTGATTTAATCTGTGCTTGTGTGGACAATGAGGATGGCAAGTTCTCCTGACACAAAACTTAACAAGCAGTTAACGTGCAGTTACAACAGTTTTTCTGGTTCCTCTCATTTGGCTGACGGCTCAATAGACGTCACCTGTGATGAGAATCAAAAACGTGGTGAGAGGACACATGCAGCAGAAATATTTGACATTCCTTCCTCTCCGCTCAAAATATTCTGCTGTCTCGGTCCCTTGATCTATACATGACACGTTGCTAATTTGCAACACTGCGTGTAAATCATCTGTTTAGAGGTCAAAGGAGAAAACGGGCTCCCAGGGTTGTCTGGAATTATTAAATGGAATGCAAACAAAAAAACATTTCCTCTGTAGTGAAGGTTTGAATATTGTTTTGTTGCCGCTGACACAGACCTCAGCCATCTTCCAAGGGACGTCCCTCTGAAACAGCTGGCCTCTGGTAGCCCAAATTTGTTTGACCGTAGCCTGTCGGACCTCAAAGAGACGGACAAGGACCCCTCCAGTCGGGACACTGTCCTCCCCCTCTGTGCTGCATCTATCACCTTTGCCATTGGAGTCACCGTTGCTTTGATCCTGCATGTCTTCCTGGGTGTAAGTTGGTGTTTTGTCATATAGAACGCACAACTGTTCCTTATCCTCACGGCAGTTATTCCTCAGGTGTTCGTAGAAGGTGTGGTGGTTTCTGATCATGTGCGCTGCACTTCCCTCGGCCAGACGGTCCTCAATGACGGTGGATCCAGTGTGGACGCGGCCGTCACGGCCGCCCTGTGTTTGGGTGTTGTGCATCCACATGTGTCGGGTGTTGGTGGGTACGTGACCGACTTATTGCTGACACGCGTGTTGGGAAATGTACGCAAACGTGTCCGGTTGCAAATTCCTCCTTTGCTCGTCCTCTGTCTGTAGAGGTGGGGTGATGCTGGTACACGACCTCCACAGGAAGGAAACCAGGGTGATTGATTTTCAGGGAACTGCACCTAAGGCACTTAAGGAGGTGATGCTGCAAAATGTCTCTGGACTAAAGGTAATGTAAAGATGGGGGGGGTTGACCACCATGTAATCACTTTATTTTATATTGTGTATACTTTTACTTCACCCTTTTAGGCAGGTCTGCGAGTGGGGGTGCCAGGTCTCCTCAGAGGGTTACACCATGCTCACAGCTTGTATGGGAGGTAAACGAGTTTCTCATCTTCATGTTTTGGTCCCTGTATTCATGTCCCTCAATCGGATATCTTACCACAAAATCACTGCAGTCTATTATGGGAGGATGTGGTCACCAGAGCCGCCGCTGTCGCCGAAGACGGTTTCAATGTGTCTTTCAGTCTTGGTGAGTCAAACCGTCCCTCTTATTTTCTCAACTAACCACATTACTCTCAATATAACACGGTGGCGTGTCCGGGGTAACGACAAAAGCGGCATGTGACTCATTTGTGTATCTAAAACAGCTGAGGCCATATCAAAGGTACAGGGCGAGCACCTGTCCCAACGTTTCAGGGACACGTTCCTTCCAGGTGGCCGACCTCTTCTTCCTGGGTCCTTTCTGAGGATGTCCAGTCTGGCTGCTGTCCTTCGGGGTGGTCTGTCCAACTTCTATGACGGTAACTTCTCACTGGAGATGGAGGACGAGGTAAATGACATCAAACGGGTTCCTGTTTTGTGAGCAATTTGATGATGATGATGAAGCTTTTAATCTTCAGCGACTGCCATTGTCGGGGACTCTTTTTCATTCCAAGGTGCAAACAAACGGAGGGGTCCTGAGCAGGGACGACATCAGTAACTACAGTGTAGAAGTCGGGCAGCCGTTGGAAGGCCTGTACAATGGTAAAGACAAAGCGTTCTGCAACAATAGACTGCCTGAACGTGTACGCATTCTTGATACCTTCATCGATATTTTGTTGATCTTGTCTTAGAATTTGTTATCCAAGTTCCTCCTCCTTCCTCTGCTGGTGCAGCGTTGATATCTGCGCTCAAACTGTTGGAGGGCCTTCAACTCAACGGGAACAATGACACAGAAAATCAAACGCACCACTGGATTGCTGAGGTACTGGAATGCAGCGCTTGCATATCGCAATGCTCTTTAATGCACCGTGTTATTGCGTGGCGGAAATGATCGATCTCCGTCATTGTAATTGTTTGTCCCTGTTAAGGCTGTGAAAGGAGCGTTGGCTAAAGCCAGAGGTTTGGGAGACGCTTCACTTAACTCTTCTGTGACTGAGCTGCTCTCTGATTTGCTGAGGTAAATTACATTTTTGAGTCACTCGTGCAAGTAGTGCTGCAAGTAAAACATTTGCTTATAAAATGTCCAGAGTATTAGAAAATTACAGAGGACATGTCAAAAACACAGCGATTTTCCGTTATGTTGGACAACTAAAACCGTCACATTCTCACACTGTCATGTATTGAAGGAAAGAATAGTCAGCATTTTTCTGAAATAATTAAGTCTAAAAATGGCTTTTCTGTGGCTTGACTGTTAACAATTCAGCAATCGTCACTCATAACTTTCTCCGTTCTATCAAGAAGTATGACTCAAGCTAGAGTGCTTCATCAGGGGGTCAATTCCTCGCATACCTCTCCACCCGAGCTCCACTCCCTACGAACCGAGCTGATGGCTGGACAAGTAGTAGTCATGGGGCCAGATGGACTCATGGTGTCAATTGCAAGGTGATGGTGCGAGGTTGCTATCTATGCGATGGGTGTGGTACGTGCTGCTCTGCGCACACTGACATTCCGCTATCTTTTATCTTGTGTCTTTGTGATCTCAGCTCCTTGAGCACGCCATTCGGCAGCAGGCTCATGACTGTGTCTGGCGTCATTCTCAACGGCCTCATCCTTGACTTCTACTGGCCAGACAAAACGCCAGGGCGACGCTCATCCAATCAGGTAGCATTATAAATCTCCCCCGTTTACAGAGTATTTTCCTTACAGGTATGTCTCGCAGATTTTTTATTTTATTTGTACTATAGAAAAATCCAGTGCAACCAGGAGCGAGGCCCCAAACACCCCTCATGCCCACAATAGTGGTGCCAGCGAGGCATAAATGTGGGCTCTACACGGCACTAAGCAGTTCAGGTGGACCCCGGAGTTTGAGTGTTGTAACCCAGGTTTGACAACTTTACATCATAAAGGTTTGGATTCTGATTCCATGGAAGAAGTTAGGATTGTTTATATAAAATCATTTTACAAGTTTGACTTTTGTTGTGCTTTAGGTGTTGATTAGAGCACTGTCCCTCAACAAAGAGAGAAATGAAAGCCTCTCCCTGGGAAGACTCCACTCTAATCGTCAGCCAAGCAGACGTCTTGATTACCGTAAGTTGACCTTTTGCCCCTTGTGGTCTTTTTGTTTCCGAATTAGTAATTTCCTACTTTCCTCACTCTCCCTCATCAGCTGAGTTTCCAGAAGAGAGTGTGCAGTTTGAAAAAGGCAGAGTGAAGATGAACGCTGTCTTCCAGGGAATCCAGAGGGATAACGACATAATTACTCCCATAACCCCTTAATTATCTGATGTTTTATGAACTCTTATTGTGAGAAATATTCAACGAGCATATAGTGAATCTGGATGAGCTTCTGTTTATTGCTCCTGTTCTCCTGTGTTTGATGTTATGTGACTGCCAGCCAGCAGAGAGCAGTCATCCAACATGTACTTTTTATTAAAGACGACTGTCTTTTCTATTCACAAGTCTCTTAACTGATCAGAGGAATAAAATCATCATCATTATGCTTGGACAAACTGATGTATTGCAATGGATTTGTGATGGATATCTGGGGAAGGATTTACGAACTTGACCGCATGCTGAAAATGATGGCGGTTGAGCGAAGCTGATGTGCCATCAAGATACTGCCTGTCATGCATACCAGGTCTGGTATGTCCCATGTGTTAAGCCTGAATGCAGAAAAACGTGTCACTCAAAACGTACTACCTGCTGACTTTTATTTGCAGTAATAGTTCAAGGTTATTGTCAAACTCTAAAGAAACCGTCCCAGACTTGTTGTGGTGTCTCTTACAAGTTGTCTTATTCTGAAAATGAAGCTGCAATAGAGATTTGTGGTTTATCTCAAATCATCCCAGAAGACAAGGGTCAAAGGTCATGATATAGATGGCCCAGGCATCTTATGTCTCATTAAAGTAACGCCACGACTATCTAAACTATATGCATTTCTCTTTTGGGTTCATCTGAGCAGCTTGTTGCACACAGTTTGAGATTGCTGGAGGCTTTCTGTGCAACAACTGTCCCCAGTGGTCACATGAACGGGCAATACTGTGCTTTGTTTCTACATATTTAGATCTATCCTTAACAAATCTTTTTAATCTAATGTAGCCTATTCATGCATCTCGTTGCAAGATAGTCGGGGCGTGGAAGTTGTGAGCTGCAGTTGTGTGGGCGTTGTCGGAGGTTTGCAGGTCAATATTTAAACGGTCTCTGGTTGTTTCCTCTGTTCACTAATAACCTGCAGGGCGAGATGCGCTAACTGGGGAAACGCCTGCTTTTGTTTTGAAACATTTCGGTGTCGCGGAGTCATTTCCCCCGACAATTACACTCGTAAGTAAACCAGATGTTTATTTGTCTTGGATTCTATGGAAATGTAATAGTTTACGAGTAACGTTACGATCAAGGTTGGTTTGTTTTGTTGACTCAAATCTTTTTGAAATCTGTGTTATTCATCATTTTACAATTTTAGCCGAGTTAATTTACTTGTATAACTTTGAATGCAACTTGAGTACGATTTGAACGGGGAATATATATTCCCCCCACTTTTGTAGCCTTTATTCCCACGTGACGTCACCGTGAAGAGGCTCCACGGCCGGTACCCGCGCGGAACCCCACACATGGACCCCAAAGCCGCGGCCAGGGAGAAGTTCTTCCTCGTGCTCCGCGGCAAGTCTCGCAAGGGCTTCAGCCAAGGCGGCGTCGGCCGCGTGGACGCGGAGACGCCGTGCGGGCAGCTGACCGGCGCGCTGTACAGCGGGGGCGCCGCCGCGGGGAGCCCCCGGGGCGGGTGCGTCGTGAGGAGGGAGGACACGCACCCGCTGACCCGCCGCCAGGCGCAGCTGCTGCTCTTCGTCTCCTCGGCGAAGAGACGCGTGGAGCTGCTGCGCAACGCGCCGCTGTTCTCCGCCGTGTGCGAGCTGGCTCAGGGGGACCAGGTGGTGGTGAAGTACAAGAAGGGACACTACCAAGCGCTGGTGAGGAACCTGATGGAAATTGGGAGGAAGGACGAGGACAAGGAGGACCTGCGCATGCTCGGCTTTGAGGTGGAGTTCGTGGTGGGTAAAGTAGTTTGTCAGATTGTATTCGCGTGGAGCATCAAAAGTGTGAGTTTATCTGTGTTCTGTGTGCACAAGCGCTAATGTTTGTGTTTGTCTTTCCTTTTTTAGGACCATGATCCTGATTTGTCATCCAAGGAACCTGCTCCTTTGTTCAGTGCAGCAGACATCATCCAGGTGGTCCCGTCTTACTCCGTTCAGCAGGGATTGCGATGGAGAGATGGCCTGTCTGGGGGTAAGTAAAGGGATCAAAGTCGACGTGTGCCGCTTCTTCACCACGAGATGCTCGGTGGTGACGTCTGACACTTGTCCGATGTTTAAAAAAAAAAAAAAAAGTGCCCCTATCAGAGAATCTGATCCTGCTAGTGAAATGTTTCGGGAGGCTAGTGACTCCAAAAGGGGCATAAAAGGAGCGGTAGACAACTGGAATAACTTGTCCTGCTGCTGTGATATGTGAAACCGCAGGTTTATCACATGATGTGGCGCTTTGGCGCTCTGTGATCTCGGTGCGGTCTACATACCTCGCATGGAGACCTGTGCTGATTTAGCCTCAGGTGAATCTGATGGCGCAGCATGTGACAAAGTCAAAGGTCTTATGACTTCTAACCACCGGCTTCCACGTCTCCTCGCAGGTCCCAACAGAAAAGTGGTGACGCGCTCTCATTCCATGCCGGTCGCAGGATCTCGTCCGCGACAAGTCGGGGAAAACCGCCCGAAGAGTGCCATTCAGAGCCAAAGTTTAAGCACAGCACATGTGTCTTTGGAGGTGGGCTCCATGGTGGAGGTGGTGTCCAACTCGGGGGTCACAGTGTACGGGGTCGTCCAGTGGTTGGGGGTCCCAGAAGGGAAGACTGCCAAATGGGCAGGGATCGAATTGGTGAGTGAATACAATTTTCATTTTGCATTTTCTTTTATCGTAAGGCGTCTTCCTGACTTGGTCTTCCTCTTTGCAGGACTATGAGGTTAAAAGCTGCTGTGATGGGATGTACAGAGGCCAGAGGTACTTCACCTGCAAAGTGGGCAGGGCCTTGTTTGTTCCCGTCACAAAGCTCAACCCTGACCGCAGGTTCGTCAGCTTGTCTACAGGAAATGAGAACCTCAAACCCACCGACGAGCCTCCAGGTTAGACAGTTCTCCCAGGATGCCTTGAGCATGCATATGCAAGCTATTTAAAATGTGTTTTTCAAATAATAAAAATACCTGTATTGCATTTTACTCGTATAAAATGAAGTTTTAGTTTGACTTTAAGTAGCAATTCACCCCAAAATGGTCATGGAAGTTTAAGAGGAAATATCAAGGAAAGACATTCCTGACCCCTCCAATACAATGGGACTAGATGGCACTCAAACAGCAATGAAAACACACCTTTAAAAACTCTATGCAGAATTCATCAACCTGTTACTCAAGATAATCCACGGAGCAGTTTCCCTGTTAGCAAGCCAGTGTTCTGGAAAGTCGGTTCCTTCAGTGATGGATGTTTTTCATTCCTCTCAACATGTGTCATTTAGGATTCACACATGCGCTCTCATGATGAGTGTTGTTTGAACACTCATTTAAACGGCTCCGGAAACTATGCTTGGATTGTGGCAGTGTTTTTATCTGAACTCTGAACTTCCTGCTTTGGAAGTTAATCAGTGTTCACAAAGATCAGTGCGATTGTCCATTTTGATCATTTTACGCACCATAAGAAGCTGCTGCAGAACACCACATTTTATAAAAATCTAACTAGTTAAATGCGGAAATATGTGTTTAAACGCCCTTTTGAGATCTGCTTTTTTTTAATGTTTATTTGACGTTTCTCAGATCCTGAGTTTGAGGACCCAGAAGAGGATGTGCCTCCTATCCCTGAATCGGAGGCCTTGTCTTTGTTAGTGGGACGAATGAAAGGCATTCAGGGTCACATCAACTCCTGTTACCTCGATGCCACTCTCTTCAGGTAAAACCAGCTCAACAGCCCCCCGGGGGCATTTTGATTCTCCAGGAGCTCGCTGGTACAAAAGCAGCTCAGATTGAATTTCCTCTCATTATCTCAAGTCATTTTATTGTGAGAAGGCCATGTACGAGCAAATGAGCACTGTATTCAGATAAGGCCAGAGTTGATAAAACATGTGCTTTCCTGTCTTCAGTTTGTTCGGCTCATCTATGACCCTGGATAATATCTGGAAAAAACCTGCTGACACGGAGAAACCCATAACCTGCACGTTAAGAAAAGTAGTGAACCGTCTGCGCAGGTAAAACGCCGCCTTCTGAGCTGTTTCTCTAACGGCGTGCAACAAAAACAACAAAACAAGGAACATGTCAATTTACATAATCTGAAATGCTCCCTTTTAGCGATGCCGGTAGTCTTCGTGCACTGCTAAACACAAAGTATACATTCTTAAAATATTTCCTGTACGTGAAAGGGTGTGTGTTTTTGCTCCAGATTGCGTATCCCAGTGTGTGAGTTGTTGTGTTTGCTTACTGACGGCTAACGTATTTTTTGCAGACAAGGATTTGTTCCTGCAGAGAGTGTGATGAATTTCCGTAAAGAGCTCGGCTGCGACACGTTCCGAACCGAGGAGAAAGGTACCCGTGCATGTCTTGCCACGTGCATTGTTGCCGACACTTTTTGGGAGCATCCTTTCTGTGTCATTGCAACATTACCTGCTGCTAATGTTCTGTGCTTTTCTGATTGCTCTGCTTATCTGCAGACCCGGAGGAGTTCATCACGGTCCTCTTTCAGAAGGTGCTTTGCATGCAGCCACTGATCAAGCTCAGGTGGGATCTTAACCCCCCCCGCAGTATTAAATAGAGTCCTAAGTCAATGCGTAAAGTTACTGATATTCCGTTTTTCTTTTTAGATCGGGACAAGAAACATGTCAGGGTGCCTACACCCTCCAGATCTTTCTGGAAAAAGAACAAATGGGCCAGATGCCGTCAGTCCAACAGCTGCTGGACACATCCTGCCTGTCGGGTGACCTCAAGTTTGAAGAGGTGGGCCTTTCCTCCTGTAAAAACAAGGAAAAGAGTGGTTCATCGAGTATTGTACACAGTAACGTAGTGCCTTCACTGTTTGTCCCTCAGATGCCTTCCTGTCTAATGGTTCAGATGCCGAGGTTTGGAAACAAGTACAAGATGTTTTCTCACATAATTCCGTCCACGGAGCTGGACATCACGGATCTCCTTTACAACTGTGAGATACTGTCTTTTTTTTTTTTTAATACAGTGTTATAGGCGGCATGGTGGCGTGGTGGTTAGCACTGTTGCCTCACAGCAAGAAGGTTCGATTCCGCCCAGTGGCCTTTCTGTGTGGAGTCTGCATGTTCTCCCCGTGTCTGCGTGGGTTCTCTCCGGGTTCTCCGGCTTCCTCCCACAGTCCAAAGACATGCTCTGGGGATCAGGTTAATTGGGGACTTTAAATTGCCCGTAGGTGTATGAATGTGAGTGTGAATGGTTGTATGTCTCTGTGTTGCCCTGCGATTGGCTGGCGACCAATCCAGGATGTACCCTGTCTATCGGCCGAAGTTGGCTGGGATGGACTCCAGCCCCCCCGCGACCCTGAGTGCAGGATAAGCGGTTTGACAATGGATGGATGGATGGACAGTGTTATAGGAGCCTAAATATGCTCACACATCACCTCCTTCTCCTCCCAACAGCTCCAAGGGAATGTTTCATCTGTGGGCATCTGGCAGCGTTTGAGTGTCTTCAGTGTCTACCAGATCGCAAGCTGCAGCCAGGGAGAATAAAACAGTACTGCTCTACCTGCAACTCACAGGTATGCCGGAATGTCCGATGTCTCGCTGACCAAACACCCGGAGACGCGCTAAACTCCGCACTTTTCTTTCAGGTGCACAGCCATCCCGCTCGGCAGGGTCACTCCCCCAAAGCTCTATCGGTACCAGCGCGCTCTGAGTCTCCTGTGCCGAGGCACGTGATGCAGCTGCTCGCTGTGCTCTGCATTCAAACCAGCCACTATGTCTCCTTTGTCAAATTCGGCCCTGACCCTCGCTCCTGGGTCTTCTTTGACAGCATGGCGGACCGATGTGGTACGATAGATTTCAAATTGTTCGAATGATTAGTTTGTTTCTCAGCTTAAGCAAGAAGTATCATCTTCTGTTTGTTTTTGTTTTTTTCCCCGCATACTGGCTGCCTCGTAAACCGTGTTGGATGAAGCTAACTATGACGCCTGTGAATGGTCTTTATCTCCTCTGGAGCTGATCTTAAACCTTCTCGTTCTGACAGGTGACGGCCCAAGTGGCTACAGCATTCCTGTGGTCCGCGCCTGTCCCGAGTTGGGTGACTTCCTCTACCTGCCGGAGGAGGAGCTGGCTCGATCGAACCACTCCCAGGCTCCGGAGCTAGTGCGTAGGCTGCTGAGTGACTCTTACATGTTTCTATACCAGAACCCGGCTACGCCACTTTCCAAGCCAAACCAGCAGGAGTGTTAGACGCCTGCGTGAACGAGGACACGACGTTCCAATAACAATGCCTTAATAACCTTGTAACTGCTCATAATCAACTGGAATATGTGTTTTTGTTATTACACACAATACCTCAGGAACTGGAACTGATGCGTCCAACATCATGAAGGAAAACAATATTGTTGAAGGGAAACTGACTACGAATGGTTTGATGTAGATATGGAAGGAGAGAAAGAATAATGGCCCACTTTTAAAGCACACGCTGACCACAGCAACTCTGCTCTTCACTTATCAGCGTCAAATCAACAATTACACAGCGTAGAGAAACTCTTTCAGACAATTAAAGTAAACTAGAATGTTAAATTATAATACTGTGAATATAAATTGCATAATCCTATTGTGTACTTTTGTATTTTGATGCTGTGGCAACATTGTTTTTTTGCCAATAAAGACTCAATGAATAGTACACTGAATTCTCCAACTATGCCTTTATGCCTAGAATGTGTTGCTGTTGTTGCACTGAGATACATATAATGACAATATTATTTTGTGAAGTAAACTGACATTTCACATAAATGAGTAAATTGATGTTTTATGCCAGTTATTGTTATAGATCCGGTCTACTTAAGCACTTGTTGATGTGTTTTGTGTGATCATTTTTTCTGTGTATTCCGATCTTGACCTAAAACACACTAAATCCTCTGATAATCATAAACGTTTTCCCAGTGCTCATTTAGGGAGTGCAAGGCCAGAGGAAAAGCAGAAAGTGTCAAGCAGGCAGACACAGATCTGATAAGGATGAGATTTAGATACACATCAAGCGCCATACAACACTCACGCTTTGCTCGTTATGTTCACATTATGTTAGAAGACCACACGTTGCATGCGATTGGATCTTGTGTTGTGGCGAGAGGACCTGCTCCTCCTCGACGCCAGTTTAGGGCCAATAGAAATCTTTTCTTTTATGTCTAACAAAATGTAATGTTTTTCCTTATGTTAGTCAGTTGTTCTTCCGGCCTGCGGGCCGACAGAACTGCTCCTGCCTTTGCAAACGCAGCGCTTATACTTGACCTGTGATCTGACAAATAAATCCACCCGAACGAGGGAAGTCGTTTGGCTGAATTCTTCCAGATGTCCCCAACCGGGCTTTCAATTTTGTTCACGATCTTTCAATTTGGTGACCCCGACGGGATTGGTTGACCTGGACAAAGAAAGACGTCCGTTTTCTCGGACCGAGCCGAAAGGACCGGCGGCGTGGTTCAGCATTGACAACAAGGGCCCACAACAGAAATAGGTAAGCAGACAACCTTTTGTTCAAAATGAATAAAATGTCTGTAATTGGATAAATCTAAAAAGAATTGTTGCCAACTGCAGAATACACCTCCATCCATTGACTGAATGAGGTCATTATAAGACCACCGAATTGAAAACTAAATTCAAAAGTTTGATGTTGATCACATGTAAAGTAAAAGCACATATTTACACTGAATTGTACAATTAGGGAAAGTGAATAAGTGTCCATAGGTTTAGGGATTTAGGTAAATGAAATTTTTGTACTCTTAATTGGTAGAAAATCTAAATTGCAATCCGTGTGGTACGTTGATACCTCTGGTAACGAGTCCCACGTATACATATATCGTGGACTAGCAGTTTAGAGGAGAAGATGCGAGGAAATAAGGACACAGGGAAAGAGTTGTTTTTCATATTGGGAAAAGTGTGGGTGGTCGGTGTAACTCCTGGTGTTTTACCAAACCTGGAAGTTATCCATATCAGGACTTGAAAAAGGACTGAGAATCCCTCAGTGGAAAGTGTTTGACCGGATTACACATCTGTGGTTTTTTTTTTATAAAAGGGTGAAAGGGAAAATCATAGTCAATATTGGTGGTACAAACACGAGAGAAATAAAACAATGCAAGTGAACTGGTGTTATAAGCCTCAACAATCGAGCGCTGTATTCCTCTAATACAGTAGAAGCTTCTCAGTTGAGTTCACAGTATTGGGCATTGCGTCCTTTCTCTTATGTTCTAAAGCCACATGTGAACAAATAAAATAACCTCTGAAAATGTGGGGAAAACAGAGTAAACCATAACAATATGGGATGGATGCGAAGGGCACTCCGGGTTTCACCCTATTTAAGAGATGTATAGAAAAAACCCTAGAAAAAAAGGAAATGTGTAACAAACAATATGTGAAGTAGGTTGTACAGATGCAAGAAAAGAGGAATGTCTGGAGGAGAGACCGATTCTCAACCAACAAGCCTGCAGCTGCAGAGCAAGCTTATTGTGAGGAGACGAGGAACAAGCACATGCACATGCGTGCTACCAGCTAAAGGGAGATTTTGTGGAAAGAAAAAAGAAAGTCTTATAAAGTGTGATTATTGATCCCAACAGTTAGAAAAGTCCAGTGCAAGAAATGAATTAAAAGAGTGGGCGTAGCAAAGCAGAAAGATATAAATAAATAATACATCAAATATAAATTTATTTTAATGGTTTAATGATTTTGTGTGGTTTGGGGTTCACAAAAATCAGTTGATTTTACAAATCGAATGAAATTGATATGTTAACAAATGGGCTTAATGAAAACACCATAAGGGTGAGACACGCACACAGAAAAGCAGTTAGGGGTCATAGATCCAACAAAAGGTTTATAAGCAAGACAACAATTGGAGATATCAGAAATGTTTAGTCAACCTGTTTATTCAGAATGAATAAGCTCATCATTACTGGGATGTCAAAGGTCTGTCAAAATCCTTTACATGAACAAGCGGATTCTAGAGGGGATTTTATGAAGTCATCTAACTGATTGATAAGGGATATTCCAACTTTTAGATCGGGTAAAGTACTAAGACTAAATAAGCTGTTCATAACTGCACACACAACAGGTGCTGATCGTGTTTCAACAGGACACCACAAATGCCCTGAACTACTTTCTTTTTAAGTGTAACACTTGAATCAAGGATTTAAAATATGATGAAAAATTATTAGAACAAATAGAAATAAACATGAAAACAAATGCAGCACAGCAAGAAGGAAATTTGTTTTGGGGAAAAACACAATTTTAAGATATTCCCTTGAGGTGATTTGGATATTTGATTAGGCTTCATATAGAGCTGTGGCTATTTTTGAGTCATGTTTTAAATCAGTACCTGCCTCAGCAGGAGGGATGGAGATGTGTTTAGCTGTACTAATCATTCAAATAAAAAGGGGGAAAGAATTGGGCATGCATTAATTGTGCAAAACACAATCCTCAAGTTTAAATTACCAGAATATCCACACCAATACATTATGATGGATTTGATTGAACTAAATCAAATATTAAAAAAAAAGTAATATTGTCTAAAAACCAAGGCAAAGACCTTAACAGAGAAGTTAGACAAAGGTTTGAGACACCGTAGAAGCCATAAAGGCCAAGGAATTACCTGTTGACCTCCGAGACAGAATTGTATTGAGGCACAGATCTGGCGAAGGGTACAGAAAGATTTCTGCAGCATTGAAAGTCCCAATGAGCACAGTGGCCTCCATCATCCGGAAATGGGAGAAGTTTGGAACCACCAGGACTCTTCCTAGAGTTGGCCGCCCAGCCAGACTGAGCAATCGGGGGAGAAGGGCCTTAGTCAGGGAGGTGACCAGGAAAGATTGAAATCTTTGGCCTGAATGCCAAGCGTCATGTCTGGAGGAACCAGGCACTGCTCATCACCCGGCCTGGTTTTTCAGCGGGAGGAACTGGGAGACTAGTCAGGATTGAGGGCAGCAACAGAGACATCCTCCATGAAAACATGCTCCAAAGCGCTCTGGACCTCAGACTGGGGCGACGGTTCATCTTCCAACAGGACAACGACCCGAAGCACACAGCCAAGATAACAAAGGAGTGGCTTCGGGACAACTCTGTGAAAGTCCTTGAGTGGCCCAGCCAGAGCCCTGACTTGAACCCGATTGAACATCTCTGGAGAGATCTGAAAATGGCTGTGCACCGACGCTCCCCATCCAACCTGATGGAACTTGAGAGGTTCGGCAAAGAAGACTGGGAGAAACTGCCCAGAAATAGGTGTGCCCCTCTTGTAGAATCATACCCAAGAAGACTTGAGGCTGTAATTGCTGCCAAAGGTGCTTCAACAAAGTATTGATCAAAGGCTGTGAATACTTATGTACATGTTATGTTTTCGTTCTTTATTTTTAAAAGATTTGCAAAAATTTCCGAAAAACAGTTTTCAATTTGTCATTATGGGTTGTTGTGTGTAGAATGTTGAGGACAATAATGAATTTAATTCATTTTGGAATAAGGGTGTAACATAAAAAAATGTGGAAAAAGTGAAGCGCTGAGAATACTTTCCGGATGCAGTGTATATTTTGTACGTTGCCTAACTTGAAACAATACGGTAGAGGAAAACACTCGTGATGAGTGATGAAATTCAATCTCTTTTATCTACTACATCTACAAAAATATGTTCACGCTAAACTCAAGCGTCTAGACGGGGTAGCTTAGAAGGTTCTGTGAGGACAGGTGAACCCTATGAGGTATCATCATGGACTACAGTGCCCTCTTGTGGACATGATGCAAGCTTGCTATGAACATCCTAACTGATGGATACTTTAAATATCATTTTCTTATCACTAGTATATTTTCAGGCCCACCACATCACACAATTATGTACATTATTATCATTACACCTGAGGTGAAAAATAATTTTGGTCATCTGTCAACCATTTAAACACTACACATTTTCTTAGCATAAGACAAAAGTTGTCTTCTTATCCTAAACCATAGCTTTACATTAGCTTTACAGTAAGAGCTTTCTCCAAAAGTTTGTCATCGGCCTGTTGGCTCCTAATGTTGTGGAGGGCAATACAACTGCTGTTTGTTACGCACTAAACATAATACAATAAAACATGCATAATCACTTAATGACATATGAGTATGAATATACAGTATCTGAAGGGACAGGCCTATTTGGGCATGATGATACGAATGTTCATGTGTACAAAAAACCAAGAGCGGCTTCTGCTCCTAAAACATGTGTGCCTCAACCCAGAATGACTGTGTGTAACCATCGTGGGCCTTAAAGAGCAACACGTTTTACCAAAAGGAGGAGCCACACTGCTCCACCATTTAAATGTCTGCGCATGCGCATCAGTGCACAATCGGGACTTAAAATCTATTACACAACTGTCTTTTCTTCATTCTGCCTGGATCCCCTCGCCGGTCTGTGGTAACCCTACACGTTACTCGTTCGTGATTTTTCAAAATCAAACGCACGAAGGAAATGAGTGGGGATCAGGTAATAACATCTGTGGCCACGCACCGTTGTATTCGCTTGGTTTGACAAGATAACTTGGCTAACAGTAGATAGTGGCTGCTAGCGCGCGTTAGCCGAGTGTGTTTGTAACGTGACGCCGACTCATTTTGTTGTTAAAAGCTTTTTGACACGTCTCACAATGTTCCCCTTTGTGGTGTGACAGAGCGGGGCTG